TTCTGGATGGAACAGGTAGTCCAATCAATGTTGGGGTTGTGCCTGCGAAGCCAGGGATACCCCAGGATGACAGGCTGGCTTGGTGTAGACAGGAGCAGGAACTGGATGGTCTCACTGTGGCCCCCGGCAGGAGCATGCGCACAGGGTTGGTTTGTGATGTAACCCTCCCCAGCACATGTCCATCCAGGGCGCTGGCTGAGATGGGCAATGACAGTTTCTCTGGGCGGAGACCAAGCCGGAGAGCGAGGGCCTGGTCCATAATGCTCTCGTCGGCCTCTGAATCGACGAGGACGGCGATGGAGTGGGAGCCAGAAGGCAGCAGGAACTCACCAGTGAGGCTGGGCCTTTTAGGGGAGGCAGGACCAAGGATGGAGCTCACCAGTATGCCTTCGTTCACTGGTGAGCTCTGGCTTTTACTGGACACCGGCTGACAAAGTGTCCTGGCTGGCCGCAGTACATACAAAGGTTCAGTCTCTGCCTTCTCTCCCTCTCTTCAAGTGAGAGGCGGGTGTGACCCAACTGCATAGGCTCAGGATCTTCCACACTTACAGGAGCGGTTGAGGCTAACGAGGAGGAGGCAGGAGTTACGGGAGACTTGGAATGAAGGGAGCTGTGTGGCCGGGCAGAACGTGACTGGAACACAGAGCGTCTCTCCCTCCTGCGAGCCCGGATGCGCAGGTCGAGACGGGTGGCGAGCTCAATAAGACCCTCCAGGGTAGACGGCAGTTCATAAGCTACAAGTTCATCTTTCATGTACCCAGCCAGCCCCCGCATAAAGACATCACGGAGAGCGGCCGGGTTCCAGTCACACATGGGGGCCTTGGTGCGGAAGTCTATGGCATAATCCTGACTGAGTGACTGAGCGGCTCCCCTGGACCAGAGCCAACAACTCTCGTCCAGCGTCGGCCCCCAGAGATCCGGTTCCGAAGACCCTCCTGAGCTTGTTGGCAAAGGACTGGAAAGAGTGGCAGGCAGAGTTCCCCCTCGCGCCCGCCCAGTGAGATGGTTAATAGTATAAGCCACCCTGGCTTCCTCGGAGGAAAAGGTGAGCGGCTGCAGGGAAAAGATGATGGAGCAGTTGCAGAGAAAGGCGTTACAGGTGACAGGATCGCCATCATAACGCTCAGGTGCTCCCACATTAGGTTCACGGGGCGAAGGGAGAGGAGCACCAACTCCTGCTGAGACGGGTGGCGGAGCAGCAGCGCTTGCCGAAGCCGGTGAAGAAGATCCGGCCTCCAGCAAAGCCGGTGATTGCTCCAGAACCTGGGTGCGGGTGTGGATGTTCGCCATTTCATCCCGCACCTGTGCCAGGCCCCGCCGATTCTCTGCTGAGGCAGCCGCAGAGGCAGCAATCAGCTGATTTAACATGTCCTCCATCCGAGAAATCCGGTCGTCAATCTGAGCTGGGTCCATTTTTGGCCAGATTGTACTGTAATGGGCGTGAGATTGGACCCAAGAACAGCACAGACTGAGACCAGCGTTGGCAAAGTTCGACAGTTTATTGACCAAGCAGGGTCGTAAAATCCACAGCAAGTACACAGGAACAATCCACAAAGGAAAACAGTCTGACTTTCTAGTAGAGATCTCCAGGGAGTGAATCCAAGCAACTGGAGACAGACGAGGGATGAGCAGGCAGAGGGGTCAGGGACAGAAGGGCAGTTCAGGTTACCTGGGCAGGGACGATGAGGACGGGTCAAGGACAAGCAGGGTCGAAACCAAGGAAGCAATCCGGAAAATACTGCGAGAGAGCTTTGCATGCTGCTAAAGACAATCTGGCAGAGACTGAGTGAACAGAGTGGGTTTAAACCAGGTGAGGGAACACAGGTGAAGGTGGTTGCACTGATGAGGTGAGAGTGGCAGGCAGGTGAACAGGAAAAGTACTGGCAGAACTGGCAGTAGGACGGAAAGCCAGGAACGGATCATGACACAGAGAGCGCTTTGGCTCAGCTATGAGACAGAGAGCTGACATTATGATAGCAAGATTCTCAGTAACATTGTGTACGGTCAACAAACATTGAATTTAACATGACAGTATGTTTAAACACAAGCCTAGCTAGCTATCAGCCATGTCATTGTCCCCAAATCAAATCAAGATTTTCACCAACAAGAGGTCCTGTGGACTGACGGTTGCAGTCTGAAGTAGTGAGCTGAATAGCATATGGGATGTGGGAGGATCACTAATATAAAGTATCAATAAGTTCAGAGGGGCAGTTAAGTGTCCTACATCAGGAATTAATGGACATCCAGCAGCCAATCAGAATCCAGTATTCACTCCGACCATGGTATAAAACATGTGAAGAGCTGGTGTTTCAGATCATCGTACAATTGAGTTTATCTAGATTTTAATTTCCCACAAAATCCTGTAAAGCAGGTGAGAGCAAATATGCTGTCTGTTGATGTTAAACTCAGCATTCATAGTCTGGGTATAATGTTTGACACTTATCTTTCATTATCAGCTGACTTAAAGCATACAAAATGTATTTCTGAATATGAAAGAAGCAAACAATCTTCCTCTTTGGAGCTGAAAATCAACATTGTAGGTGATTTATTTTCAATTCAATTCAAGTTATGTGTCATGTGAATAACACTGTTTGAGTGTTTAATAAGTAATGGATGTGTGTCTACTGTAATTGAAGAGTAGTTTATCATCTGATTAAAGTAACAAGGACATTTTATTCTTTGTAGACTCTGTTGGCGCCTGTGGACAAAAGCAGTAGAGTTTCATTGAAATGATTTTAATTGAAATCTGATTTAATCTGACCCAGTGGCAGGAATTAACAATTTTACATGTAGAATGAATCAATCTAATCACTGCAGGTCTTGTATGCTTATGTTCATCATATAGATATGTCAGTCTTAAACATGGACTGTTTTATAACCAGTTAAAAGTTAATTATAGTAGGTTTAAAGATTGAACTCAGTCAGGACCTTCACGTGCTGTAAAGTGTCAATCAGTGTGACCTTATCAGCTACTTGTTACCTGATGGAAATGATGGCATTTAGTGAATAACAGCAGCACAGCAGTGACAAACACACTATTTGTCAGAGTTGTGAGAGGAAGGAGGGAGGGATTAAGGGAGGAGCAAAACTGAGACTCAAGTACAGAAAAGACAGAAACTTTCACAGTGGTGTTTCATCCAAAAAACAGACAGATTGTCTTTATCTTTAAGATGCTGTCAGTGAACTTCAGTCTGTTTGTGACTTTGTTTCTGCTCACAATAAGAGGTAGGTGAGATCATTAACATTAAAAGAGCTTCATTGATAAAAACCTTTAGATCATAAAGTTACAGAGTTATCTCTTCCTTTAGGTGTCAGCTGTGAAGAACTCACTGCAGTCAAGAAACAAGAGTCCAGTTTAGAAGACAGCACTGTTACTCTGTCCTACAAATACTACAAACAAGCTGATGGCACTGATTATTTCTTCTGGTATCGACAATATCCAGGAAAACCACCAGAGTTCCTCGTCTTTCACTTGGGAACAGGGAGAATATTAAATAATCCAGTCTCTGGACTGTCAGTTACAGTGAGTGAGGATAAAACCCAAATGGATCTGCAGATCTCCTCTGCTGCAGTGACAGACTCTGCTCTGTACTACTGTGCTGTGAGGCCCACAGTGACAGCAAACCCACAGTCTCTGTACAAAAACACAAGCTGACACACTGACAAGCTGCTGGAAGCCTTTTTTCCACACTGTTGGACTCAACTTTTTAGCTCCACTAGAGGGCGACATTATCAAGTAGGCGGTGCACTACTTCTGCACTGTGTTCAACCATTCTGTCAATAATAACTGCTGCTGTGAAGAGAACAATTGTCACACTGAATGTTGAACATCAGCTAGTTTCTCCTGTTGATTTAAACCTTGTTGTAGAGATGGAACATTGGCTGTGGATTATTCTTGCTGCTCTTTTCTTTGGTAAGATAGAAAGCACAACATGTTTTTATTCTTTTCTAAAGATTGATGGAAACTGGAGTTCAGAGCAGAAATCTCTCAACAGTTGAGCTGTTTCTGTCCACAGAGTAACACTGTACACTTGATATTTTCCACTGTCTTCTCCTCTCAGCCTCATGAACAATGTTAGTCTAATGGCTTCATTTTCTCCACTTTTTCCAGGACTAATAGCTGGAGACACAATCTCTCCTGTAGGAGATAAAGTCAGTGGAAGAGAAGGAGAATCTGTCACACTCAGATGTCGATATCAGACAACTGTCAGCAATATTTGGCTTTACTGGTACAGACATTCTGACCTTCAGGCTCCTCAGTTTATACTCTTGAAAGGAGCAAAAGGATCTTCAGCTGAATATATTCCAGATAAACGATATGAATCTAAAACAACAGATTCATCAACTGAACTGACCATCAGAAAACTAACCCTGGCAGACACAGCTCTCTACTACTGTGCTCTAGAAACACAGTGATACAAAGTGTAGAAGAGGCTGTACAAAAACCTGAACACAGATATCTGACTACTCTTCAAAGAGGAGGGAAGTGGTATTCAAACCACAGCTTCATATCAGATGGATTCTGCTAATTCCTGTTTTATCAGAGTCACTGTGGTTACAGCTGCTAATGAAACACTGTGGGAGGATTCACATGAGCAGCAAATCCACATCAATGACAAACCAACTGGATGATGCTTCAAACACAAGACACCATGGAAACAAATAAATCAACACTGAAAATTAAAATGAGTAATATGTGACATCTGAACAACAACGTGTCTAACATTAAAACTTTTAGCTAAATAAATAGATTTGTGACCTGAATTATGTATCTAAAGTGCATTTATCATACATTGTTTTATTCCCATAAAATTTCTATTTGTTCCCAACATTTACCAGGTCAGACTGGGTCCAGTATTTTATAGCTCAAATATTCAGTCATATACTGAGCATACAGAGCTGATCTGTTACCAGCTGGGCTGGGTACAGTCTGAATATTTCTCAGCAGAAGTCCACCTTTACAGTTTCTGGTCTTTAACATTTTTATTCAGTTTTGTTTTCCATCTGATTGAACTGCAGTAAATGATGGACTGTTTGTTGATTTGTAATCATATAAGACAGGGCTGTGAATGAGGCCTGTCAGTGTGATCAGGCTCCTCCTTCTAATCCACCAACTTAGTGTTGATGAAGACTAAACAGAGAGATCACAGCCTTCTTTCTACTTGCTGTAGCTCACAGTTACTCAACACTGCAGATATGACGCAGCCTCTGTTCATCTCAGTGTTGCTGGCTGCTCTGTGCCTTGGTATGAACACAACTCTGTTTCTGTGATATCAATCCAACATTGACATGATTCTTTAACAGCACACTGATCCTGTTTGTTGCTGTTTTACAGAATGCAGAGCACAAAGAGACAACGTGCTGCAACCAAAAGGAGATGTGACTGCGACTGAAGGAGAGGAAGTAACACTTGACTGTCAATATAACAGCAGTTCATCAAATGATTATCTCTTCTGGTACAAACAGGATGGAAACAACAGCCCCAAATTCATACTGAGCCGTTTCAAGGTTGGCACAGGGAAAACTGAGGACACGTTTAAGGAGGAATTTTCATCCACCCTTGATTCAACCATGGGCCAGTGCTGTAGATGCAGGTCAGACGTCTGTACTGTAGTTATTGCAGGAACTGTTTGTTATGTTGGCAAGATGAAAACATTTTCATTTAAGAAATATAGAGATCTTATTCCCCAACCGCCGGTTGCCAAGCCCCAAAAGGAAAAAAAAAACCACAGTAAAGTAACCCCCCCTTGGGGGGTAATATAGACACCTGATAATATAGACACCTGACTATGAGAAAGGGGGGCTTAAACCTAATATAGACACCTGACTATGAGAAAGGGGGCTTAAACCTAATATAGACACCTGACTATGAGAAAGGGGGCTTAAACCTTTGCCACTGCTCCTCTCCCATTTAAGAGATTTAAAAAGGTTTATGATTTTATGATTGTTTGGACATATGTGTTCTTCTTTTTGAAGAAGGGTTTAAATAATATAAGGCTCCCTTGCTTAAATCTTCTAAGAGAAATAAAGTCCCATTATAGGCACCTATACCTTCCTAGGCAGCGTTAATCAGATGGGAAAAAAATCTAGGTAAATGATTTAGTCTATGCCCTCTATGCAGTCCAGTTCAGTTTTAAGGAGCCTGGTAATAAAAGAGGAATAATTAAAAATTATACCATTTAATATGTTAATCTCCGGTGGTGCATTCAGGCCCAATTCTGTGTGCCTTTACATTTTTGATTCTGGTCGGTTAATGATGCAGATGTTGTCTCTTCTATTTCAATCCTCTTGGAGTGCCAAGGTTTCCTCCAAAGACTCTGTGATACCTGTGCTGGAACGCTTTTTCCTTTTTTTCCAACTTGAGTAGAAAGTTCTTATAGGGCGGCTGTGTCTCAGAGGCAGAGTCGTCCACTAATAGGAAGGTTGTTGGTTCGATCCACGGCTCCTTGCGCAACATGTTGGAGTATCCTTGAGCAAAATACTGAACCCCAAATTGCTCCTGATGCTGTGCATCAGTGTGTGAATGTGTATGAATGTGTTAGTTTCAAAGTAGTACATAGCCATCTTGTCCACAGGTCACATGGTGATGCTCATTTTTCCCCTAAAAATGTGAAAACTGGCTTAAATACAATGTTGCCAATGGCATATAGTCTGGATATTACACTGATATGGACCAAATCCATAGTCCTTGTTGTGTACAGAAACATATTCCAAGGAATTTTATATCTAAAATACTTTAAGAGTGAAAGACACCCACTGGATCTTACTGACTAGAACTGCTGCATCCTCATATCAACTTCAGCTATGTCATTAATCTTGTTGGTATTTGGTCATAAACCAAAGTATGGGACTAATTAAATACTGATTAAAGGTCAGAGGATCACCAAAGTTCTTACAATTCATCCTGAGGGGAACATGAATGAACCAAATATAATGACAACCATGAATATCTGGATAAAAGCTCATGACAATCCATTCAGCAGTTTCTGAGATATTTCACTGCTGAATATAAATGAGATGTAAATGTTGAGAGTTCCTCAACAGATGATAAAGAGGAAGGACCAATGATGTGAAGGCCCAGATCCATCAGAGTATCAATGTTCTTCCTCTCTCTCCTCCCCTCTCACTGCAGACATGAAACACTGGCTGAGAAACATCCTGATTCTGACTCTCTGGCTAGGTAACTCTTTAAACCTACTGATTGTTCTCCTTTAATCAATCATCTTTATTGATTCATCTCTTCCTCTGCATGTTCTCTTCTTCCCCAGAGTGTAAAGGAGAAGACAGAGTGACCCAGCCACCAGGAGATGTCATTGCTACTGAAGGAGAGACAGTTACACTTGGATGTACATTTGGGTCCACTGCAACATATTCCTATTTGTTCTGGTACAAACAAGAACTAAATAATGTCCCCAAGTTTATACTGCAACGTTACTCTGGAAAAAAAGATTATCCAACAGAGGAAGACAGAATTGATGCTACAATCAACAAGACATCAGTTCCTCTGAAGATCCAGAAGCTTCAGCTGTCTGACTCTGCTGTGTACTACTGTGCTCTGCGGCCCACAGTGACAGGAAACACCAAAACTCTGTACAAAAACCTTTGGAGCAAAGACAACAGAATACTCCACAACATCCACTAGAGGGACTCACACACTGTTAAACTTCAATGCCATGTGATGATACAGTGTGGATTCTGTGTAGTGAACTAAAGATAAAACACAGAACAGAAAATGCTTGCTGTATCATACCATAGAAACTCTGATAACAATGAGGTTTTGGGATATAGGGATAGTTTAGGGATATTATTTATGTAAACAATAACTAATCATAATTGAATGTAACAGCAAATGCTGATGTGACATTCAAAATTGCAGGTTAACTATCATATTGAGCTCAGTGTTAGGCTGTCAGGGCCTGCAAGGCCTTCTCTGCTGGCCTAAGAAATATCTGATCACAGACTGATAGTAAATTATAAAAATATATAAATAATTACATTTTGTCCATGAATACTTATATAATAATTATATATTTTTTATAATTATTATTAAATAATTCCAAATGGTCTGTCTGCTTCCTTTCATAGCTTTTCCTCTGGTTGAGCTGCTTCCAAACGTGTATTTTCACATTAAAGCATTTAACCAATCACATTTCAGCCATCATTTGTTGCCAGGGTCAAAACAATCTGCCTGGAGGCCTTCACAATCAGGTCTGCGGGCCCTGTAGCATAAAATAAGTGTTGATCAAATTGTTGTAGATTTTGAGTTGGCGACACCGAGGCCCTCTAGCAGGCGTACGGTGACGTCAGCGTATTCACACCCTTTGATTGGATAGTCAGAGAGCGTACTAGCCAGAGCTAGCAAACTGCATTTTGTAGCGAACTAAACGAGCAAGTATAAACGGAGAAGAAATGGATTTGGTTGCAGATATATTGTCACAGCCATTTTCAAGATGGACTTTTCAAGAAAAGCTGGACATCGTTGAGAAAGGTCGGGCAACTCCGAAGCTAGCAAGCCTGTCACAACCGGGAAAAGGATTTGTCCGCCACTTTCAGTCCACTAACTACGAGCGGTACCCCGGACACTTATAAGCAACGGTGCTTTCCAAAACTTTTGGGGAAACCAGAGTGGATCAACAGCTGAGCGAGCAAGTGCGCAGGGAAACGGAGCTCCACAACGAAAAGGTGAAGAAAAATAGGGAAATCCTAAAAAGACTGATAAACCGTGTTATTTTTTTGGGGCAAGCAGGAACTTTAATTTCAGGGACACGATGAAAGCACTGGATCCACAAACAGAGGAAACTATGTGGAGCTTCTTTCTCTCATTGCTGAGAGCAACACGGATCTACATTACCACCTGTCCACTAATAAAGTGTTTAGTGGGACGTCGGGCAAAATACAAAAGGACCTGATCACTGCTATTGCTGAAGTGATGGGAGAAGAGATCAGAAGGGAAGTTAATGAAGCACCGTTTGTCTCTGTTATGGTGGATGAGACGACAGACGCGAGTAACGCAGCGCAGCTCGCACTGGTCCTGCGTTACGTAACGGGCACAGGTGTGGAGCGGTTGGTCAGATTTGAAGATGTTACCAGTGGGAAGCGAGCCGATGACATTGCAGGTCTTATCATCTGATTTTTGGTGGAAAATGAATGTGTGGGTAAAGTCGTGGCACAGTGTTATGGTGGTGCAGCGGTCATTGTCTTCTGGATTAAATGGGGTACAGGCTAAAATTAAGGAGAGATCACCCTTGGCTTTATTCATACACTGCTATGCACATCGGCTCAATTTAGTACTGACTCAGGGGGCCTCAAAGCTTAAAGAATGCAAGAAGTTTTTCGCCCACCTCAATGGCCTTGCTGCATTTTTTTCTAGATCGCCTCGGTGCACGCAAATACTGGACGAAATCTGCCAGCGGCATCTCCCCTCGAGTGGCACCAACACGGTGGCAATACACATCCAGAGTGGTCAATACAGTCTTTGAGAAGAGAGATGTTCTAAATCAGGGGTCCCCAAACTTTTTTCGGCGGGGTCCACATCAACTTTCCTTTCTGTGATGGGGGGCCGGGGTCAGTCTATAACAGGAAATGATATGGGCCAAAGTGACAACCAGTATTATTGTGGAGATTATAATGATAATTTTTTTGCAGCTGCCCTTCGCTGGGCCTTGGCACCACCTGTTGGTCTGCAAAAAAAGTAATAGAAAGTCTTATTTGAAGTACCACAGATACTCCTTTTATTTTGTAGAAAATGAAAACACAAGCTGATGCCAGGTAACAATGAGGTGATGTGATTTTGTAACAGGTACAGGTGAGTTAACATTTGGTAGGTATTTTGTCTTTACAGGTAGTGAAATAACATAAATACAGAATTATAGTAAAAATCAGGTGAAGTAATCTTATCTAGGTGAGCTGAATTTGTATGTACAGAGTAAAGTAAAGGTGAGTTAACAACAGTTAAGTATTTTGTCTTGACAGGTTACTTTGTTTCTTAAGGCCACACGGTGAAATAATATTAAAACAGAATAATGGTAAGAATCAGGTAGTCTTATCTTGTTGAGCTGATTTTGTATTCTCAGATAAAGGTGAGTTAACAATGCATAACATATTATTTCGTCTAACAGGTATGTTTACTAAGGCCACAGTGAAATAACATTAATACAGAATAATTGTAATAAACAGGTATATAAGGTGATCTGGTTTGGTATTTACATGACTCTTAGATTAGGTTTTTGTGCTGTGATGATGAGGATCCTGGCTCCAGGGTGGGAGCGGTCAACCACAATCTCTCCTCCTGACTTTAGGGTGGTCCTGGAAGCATGCAGGCCCTTCAGGAATGGCAGATAAAAAAACACAAGCAGCCCATCAGCAGATGACATGCTGCAGTCTCATTTTGACTGTGACATCACTGTTCAAGAAACATGTTGCCTATAAAAAGAGCATTACTATACTGACATTTTTTCATATTCATAGTTACTGAAATCAGCAGGCTTACCACATCAGTGTGAGCTGTGGGCTTGCTTCTGACTGGTGAGGAGATTGATGTCAGGTTCCATTCCAGTTACAGCCAGTCTCAGAGACTGATGCAGGTGTTGATCTGAGAGTCTTGATCTTGTCGCATTTTTTATCAACTTCATACGTGAAAAAGTTTGCTCACAGATATATGTGCTCCCAAAAACTGGACATCTTCATAGCGTGCTTTCTGATGTTGGGGTAAGTCTCGTTTGGGAGGGAAGCATAGTACTCTATGAGACAGTTGGGCTTGAATGCGTCTCAGCCAGTTCAAATTGAAGAGAAGGCAGGGTGTCATTAATGTCGGCAGCAAAAGGGTTCTGGAATATGCAAATTTCTTTAACGTGGGCATGAAGCTCACGGAACCGCACACTGAACTCCGCTCTCAGAGTTTCCAGTGCGTCCTTGCACTTCTTGGTTGGGAACGGGACCGCTGGCTCCTCAGCTGAGAGGCTTCGAGTAGCAGGGAGATGGGTGAAGTCTTGTTTTTGCACTTGTCCAATAAGCAGCGCCAGTTTAACCTCAAATGCTTTGACGTGGGAATACATGTCACAGATTAATTTCCCCTGGCCTTGGAGCTGTAAATTGAGGCTGTTTAAAATTTCTGTTAAAAAGGCAAGGTCCCATTTCCATTCTGTGTCGATCAGCTCTGGGACAGTTTTTCCCTTTGTCAGGAGAAAGGGGTTGATTTCAGGTAGCAGCTTGTAGAAGTGCTTCAAAACTCTACCCCGGCTTAACCATCTGACTTCAGCGTGGTAAAGCACGTCTCCATGGGCAGACTCCAGCTCGGATAGAAAAGCTTGGAACTGCCTGTGTTTTAGTCCGTTTGCTCTGATGAAGTTTAAGCAAGACACAACCACCTTCATGACAGATTCCCACTTCAGAACTTTGCAGCACAGTGCTTGCTGGTGAATCAGGCAGTGGACTTGTAGTGGGGGGGTGAGACCTCGTTCCTCCATTTCTCTTTTTATGCGCCCCACTAGCCCCCGCGACGCACCAACCATACTCGGAGCACCGTCCGTTGTGATGCTCGCCAGCTTAGCCCAGTCTAAATCCAACTCTTCCATCGTTTGGAGTACTTTACAAAAATTTCCTCTCCTGTCGTAGTATCCGTGAGACTTTGTAGAGCTGCCAGCTCCTCGGACACTTCAAAAGTTGAATTAACTCCCTGAATAAAAATCTGCAGTTGTGCTGTGTCCTGCACGTCATTGCAAAACACTCAAAATCTTTAGCTTTCTCTTTCAGCTGGACATGTACATTATGCCCCATTTCTTCAATTATGTAATTGGCTGTAAAGGGGTGAGACATCTGATTGGCTGCAGACGACCCCCTTGTAGAAAAAATGCATTTGTGTATCGGAGTCACGTCAGGAAAGTCTCAAAAATCCACACACAAATGCAGGGAGGTTTACAAATTAAAAGCACTGAGACAAATGCGGGTTTGACAATTCATATATCAATGTAACAACTTCCAAATATGTATTTGATGAAAATTGCAAATACCTGACAATTTGTGCATTTGTAAATTTTTATTGCACATATTTAAAACAAGAAATATTTGTGTGCGCATCACAAATATGTGCTCTTAAATCGTGTGGTGTACCACAGGGATCAATCCTAGGGCCTGTCATTTTTCATGTAGTTTAAATGTTGCCCCTAGATAAAAATTTTAAAAAATCCAAAATTTGTAGACTCTCAGTCAATGGCGACCATACAATGTTTTTTAAGAATCTGCAGAATTCACCTGAGTTACATTGCCAGGTCAGAATATCTAGTCTTCCAGATGCATCCAAAAAATTCAAATCCCTGATTGTTTATTTCTTACATACCTGCTGTATCTTTTTCTACAGATTGTTGAGGTGGCTGTTGTGGTTTTGTGTAGGTTTAGTGACAGCCCACCATTCACTACAAT